CTTCAGTAGTAGACTTTAAGAACACTGATTTATTATAAACTCGGATATTTCTGCCACTCCTGTGGCCTTCATCAGCGAGTGGAGATGTGCGCTTAATAAATCTTATTATTATTATTATTATTATTATTATTATTATTATTATTATTATTATTATTATTATTATTATTATTATATATATATACTCGCTGATATAGATATATATACTTTCAGCACCTAGATGATTTTTATTGTGGAAAAAGGCACTCTACAAACATACCATTACCATTATTGTTTGTACAGTAAACATTAGATTAGGTCAGTCAATAAATCTCTGATGTCCGTTTTTTTGTTTTTTTTTTGAGTAATAAATCCAGATCCAGAATTAATGTTCTTAGATCTATTTTTATTGATTTGTGTGATCGTCTTTCTACGCATGCGCAGGAATACCTGCGAAGAAATAATAAACCGACTAGGTATCCGTATTGTGAAGGGAAATATGTATAACTAATTGCAAATATTTTTTATTTTGGTAGGTATTATACAAACTTAGAAGTACTATTTATATAATAATATTAATATTTTTATAATCGCTGCTACTATTTAAGATGAGTGTGTTGTCAAAAACCAGCCCGCCGAATGAAAACTCACAGTAAGTAGCAGGCCTCTCTTCTGCTGGGCGAGCTAGGCCTAGCCTAGCCTGGCCCTGTAGACTAGGGCGGCCTAGGCTACCCAAGAATAAGACCTAGCCTAGGCTTTTGGTAGGTAGGTAGGCTAGGCCTAGCTAGCCTATGTCTAGAGGCCTACTAGTAGTACTAAACCTCGGAACTTCAAACTGAGAAGACAGACTGTGTAGGCCTAGCTAGCCTAAAGCCTTTAAGACAAATATATAATAAGGGCCAGGCCTGCGCGGGGAATAAATAAAATGGGTTAGGCCCATATCGGCCGCTACCTATAGCAGCCGCCCTCCAAAACGGCCACCAATGCGTGTATATGTATGGAACGCCGATGACGCATTCACAATTAATAATACAATACCGCTCGCTAAATACAAAAAGCCTTCGAGTCAACTCGGCCCGGCAGGTTAAATCGGCCCTCTTTTTCATTTTATATATAGGCCTACACACTATATAAAACTACTTAAAAAATAACTAATATTAAAAAAAATAATAAATTGAAGTCACATTAAGAATTGTAAATATCATAAAAATATAATAAAACCATTGCTCCAATCAAAACGTTCGATAGATTGAAGTTCTTCTCCAATAAAGTATGGTATTCATTTCTTATTATATATAAAGCTAGTTTAGATTTTATCTATTATATCATAATTTATGCCATATATATTTATATAGGCCACATATATTTAAATATGTATACATATATAATTTATATAAGAATAGGTTGAAAATTGGTTTACTCCACTGAAGTATTTCATACATATGATATTCGTTTCTTAAATTTATACTCAAAATATGTACATATGTATAAGGACACAGGAATGACAGTTTGTAGAATTGCCTAATATCGAAAACACGAAGCATTTTTCATTATTCAAGTTTTTTAGCTTTAATGTCTAAAAAATCAGCTCAAAGCAGGAAAATAGCAACTAAAAAATAGGAGCGTGGAATCGTAATTGTTGCATAATTGCATTGGTTAATATTGTATATAATTACGCCGTGCCTAGAGATACGGTACCATATTTCTACTTCCAAGGTACGGTAAATGGCATTACGTTAGTGTCACTGACGTCATGTGTCAATGGCATTGCAGATCACCCGCGATGAGCGGTGAATGAAAAGTGAACGATGTACTGGGTAATATTAGAACAAGATTAACTAGGCCTAGGTGAAAAGTACAATGCTGTACTTTGTCCTGTCATCAATAAATAGGCGTATGGTTCCACTCAGTAAGAGTCATTTCATTTATCTATAGCCATATCTATCACACAAGGACTGAATCCTGTACCAAATTCTTGGCATACCTGTAGGCCTCTGTGCCTTGCTAAGATTCTTCGCTTCGCAGCAACCCTGCTGTAGTGATCTGCGGTGAGCATCAGTCATAAACTTATTCCTCAGTGGTCATACTCTTGTCTGAAGTTCTCAACCCCCAAAAATCTGATCTTAAGTTTTAGTCCAAGAAGCCTAGGTTATGATACTGAATATACACTTACTCGAAATTACCATGCTTTACAATCCAACCAAAATATTGATACACTTTGAATACACATGCAACCATACATTTACCAAACTTTATGTACTGTAGACTCGGTCACTGTTATGGTACTTCCCCCAATCGACAATCGTAAAAAACATTGTTCGGCCAATTAAAAAATTTTAATAATGAAATCCGAAGACTGAGCTAAGTAAGGCCTGGGCCTACATCAAAAGGTTGGTCTTGAGGATTCAGGCCTTGCTTGATATGGTTAGATGACATGACTCATATTACTGAGTGGAACCCTTAATGCGCCTATTTATCGATGAGAGTATTAGAGTATAAGAAAAATACTGTACTCTTTGCCTAGCTAATCATGTGATCCAGTAGGCCTACTGTACATTGTTCGCTAATCATACTGCTCACTGTGGGCAGCGATCTGCAATGCCAAGCTTGAAAGAGGACGTCACACACATTTTGGCACTTCATTGGGTGATGGTAACATAATGCCATTTACCGTACCTTTAGCAAGTAGAAATATGGTAGCGTATCTCTATCCACACCGTATATATTAAGATTGTTCAAAGCCTAATTTTCAGCAATATCTGCTCGAAATTGGCTCTTATTTTCCAAAATGCACGAACGAATTTCTGGTCCAAATTTTTGCACGGAGGATATATTCCCTACACAGACCTTACTATACAGTTTGGTGGCCTAGGCCTATCTCTCTTTCATTGCAATTAGCTAAGTAATTATAGTCTAAGCTTAGGCTATATTTTAACCATCAGCAGCTTGCCATGGAACAAATTTTGAAAAATAATAAAGGCCGATTTCCTCTCAAAATATATAGACCCCCAAGTTATACTAGGCCTATCTATGCCAAAAAATCCAAAATAGGCGTACCCTAGCTGTCACTCACAAAGCACAATTTATCTAACTTAAATTTGCATAGTAATTGCTTAGAGAATTGGTACATGGAACTGTACTGCACAGTACATGGTTGTATATACTGTTTAGACAAGTAAAGACCTACTTTTCTGCAAAATATGTGCGGAAATTGGCTATTGGCGATTGGCTTACTATTTCTCTTATTGCAATGCTATCTAATGATGTAATAATTACATGGTACCACTATCATTTTTTTGTCTTACAGGTTCTTGAAAAACAAAGACAATCAACATGGTAAGTACAAAGCTAAATTTTATAAAATATTTAAGTACTTTGTCTAAAAATCTTCATTTTATTGAGTTTCCCTAAACTATAATTTTGATATTCTAGTCTAAGAAAGCAGAAAGCATTAAAGTTGTGGTGAGGTGTCGTCCTCTAAATAGCAAAGAAACAGCTGCCGGGCACAAGCGTATTGTTGAGATGGATGTGAAGAAGGGTGTCATTGTGCTTAATAATCCAAATAACCAAGGCGAGGCCTCAAGGAATTTTACCTTTGATGCTGTCTATGATTGGAAGTAAGTTCATTATTTTATAATAAAATAATAATAATTATTATTATAATAATATATATATATTATTTCAGGTTTTTTTTATTAATAATAATTATTAGTAATAATTTCATTCATTTTTTTTATTAATTTATTTTTTATAATAAAGAAAAATAAAAATATTAGTAACCAAATACCAATAGTGTTGAAAAAGGATCGCAATGGTAAAAGTATTTCCCAGTGAGTGTATCTTCTTAGGGTATTAAAATTGGGGGGAGGGGCTGTTGTGAAGGTAAATTTGGAGGGCTTGTTGGTAAAGTAAGGGGCTCTAGCTGGCAATAGTGGTATGAAGTGATTTATACTATTTAGCATACTTTTTTTGTGCTTCAAAAATTTCTAGTGGGATGGTTTGGTGGTGGGGCTACTGCAGAGGAAAACAGAAAATTTAGATTCATCATACTCTCTTAGTTTTAAACTAAAGTAAAAAATATATATGATTACAGCATTGAATAGTAAATATTTTCATTTGATCACCACCAGCTCAATACAAAAGCAATTGTACGATGAAACCTTTCGGCCACTAGTGGAGTCAGTTCTAAATGGTTTCAATGGCACGATATTTGCTTATGGTCAGACAGGTACTGGCAAAACATACACAATGGAAGGTAATTATCATTATTTTCTATTTGAATTTTATATGTAAACACTTACATTAATATATTTATATGAGTTTAAATAGACCTGTGAATGTTTGTCTGTGTACTTTTGTGTAAATTTTCAATGTAGTGATTGCTTCTTTGTTTATTTTTAATCTTATCTTATACTACTGTTTAATTGCAGGACACTGTTTACAGTAATACATTTTTGAATGAAGTTCCAATATTATAATAATATACATTATGTTAAATATTATAATTATGTCTGTATAGAATTAATAACATTAAGATTAAGCTCTGCCCAGATTTTCAAGTTTTCTTTGACAAAAAAAAGCTGTTGTATGCCATAGTCATGATATGCCTATGTGGCAAAGACAAGCCAAACCAGTCACTCGTCGCAAATCCTTTTTCAGAGATAATGGCCAAAAAATGCTGGGATGTCAACATTTTTTTAATCTAGTTCATTTCACTAAACTACTGTAACCTTTATATATCTATATATCATGCTATGCTGTTATTACCCCATTTTCAGTGTTAAAATAACCATTTTAATGATTTGGTGATGGTTTCTGCATGAGAAATGCCTGAAATTCTGAACTTTAAAGTCTGATTTCTCGAATATTGTTCTTTAAGCAGCTGTGTGTTTAAACTACTGTAACTTCATAACGAAATGTCGATTTAAATGATTCTTTTACCATTTTATGCTCTCATTTTACTGTTTAACCTTGTTTTAATAACTAAAAATCAATTTTTGCGACGGGTGACTGGTTTGGATTGTCTTTGCCACATATGGTCATTATAGGATGTCATGACCATAACAATTTCCACCAAAATTATATCCTATAAGATATATTTTTGCTTTGTTTCCTAGGTGTACGCAATGACCTTGAAAAAAGAGGTGTGATACCAAACTCATTTGATCATATATTTACCCACATTGCTCGAAGTCAAGACCAGCAGTATTTAGTAAGAGCGTCATATTTAGAAATTTATCAGGTAAAGTTTAAAAATATTTAATACCAATATAAAGGTGTGTTTTAATCGCATCTCAAGAAAGTATATTGAAAATGTAGTACCTGTGGCTTCTTGAAATATAGTTTTTTTCTTGAGACCTAGAAGTTGTAATAATAGATAATGAGAATAAAATGTTGAAGTCTTTGCTACAGCTGTCTATTCCCACTGGTCGTACAGTCATGTCAGTATCGCTGAAATATAAAATCGTTTAAGAAGTGAATTAATAAAAATGTCATTACTAATGCATGTCTGTAGCTAATAAATATTCATGAGCACTCATAATGTCCTCTGATAAATCCTAGTAATTAAGCTGAATATTATATTCAAGATGCTGTGCTAGTTTTTATTCACCTGGGGATTAAATAATTAAAAACAGGATTAATTCATTTTCATCAAGGACACTCCATTGTTATCATTATTTAGGCCAAAAACAACCTTTGTATTGCCCAAGAACAACTGACCCAAAAACCCACATACATACATGGGGTCAGCTTTGGGTTTGCAATAAGATGTTTGTTTTTTCAAGGGAAAGCCCAAAATAATTGTATGCTGTTTATACTAAATTTGATATCGTAACCTGGAATTTATTCATATATGGTTGTCATTCTATCAACCAAAATAAATGGGTAGAGAGAGATTGTTAGGCTGGTCCAATAGTAAAAACCAAAGGTTTAATAAATTGTCAACTGTTGTTGATTTTTAAATGTTACTGTGCTTGAAGAGCACAATATTTTGTCCTTATCCACTTTTTCTGTATTACATTTTGTGTTATAATTTTTAACTAAAACTCTAGGAGGAAATCAGAGACTTGTTAGCTAAAGATCAGAGTAAGAGACTGGACCTCAAAGAACGAACAGACACTGGTGTTTATGTCAAGGTAAACTACATTTTTTTTTTTCTATAAAAGTCGGCAACTCGCTGCGCCCTGATGGTCGTCGGTCGGCACAACTCTAATGGAGAATGCCTCGACATGTGCGCAATGGATCGTTTTTAAATGACGCCCCGTTCAGACCACCACCGACAATCAGCAGATGCTGTCGCGTCGTCAGAAAGCGGATTACTATTCTACGATGCAGTGATTGACTGGCTTTGCAGGAGCTAAGTTGACCATTTTTAAATGGCAGAGGTAGACAATGTTGAATAGATAAATCAGACCATATTGTGGATGGACTATTTTAAATTGGTTGTCCATGTTGAATAATTTAACCATGTAGAATAAATTATCATTTTGAGATTTAGAGTATATCATGTTTGGAAATAGATGAGCCATGTGGAATATTGTAGATTGACCTTGGTAGACCATGTTAAGTATGGAACATGTGGAATAGGTGGTCCATGTACCTCATTGAATGGATAGACATAAACATTTAATAGATGGATGGATGTTGAATGGATGAACTACATATAGATGTACTACTGGGCCAATTAAAAAAAAGATGTACTAAGTTCCATCGATGGAACATTTTAAATTGACATACAGTATCATGTTGAACATAGTTCTACTATTTTATGTAGATTATACTATTTATTGTTATTTTCCATGTTTTGTTTTTTTTTGGATACACTAATCAGCTACATGCAGGGCTGAAAATTAACCTACAAACCATAGTGGCTAGCATTGCCAGTAAGGAAAAAATGATACTGGCCCTTCCAAAGTTATACTGGTCCTATTTTTTTAACATCATGAAATATAATTTTACGAATAAACAAAATGAATAAAACCAGCATGACATTGGTTTAATAATTTGATATTTACTACATTATAATATACTACTACTATAAGTGAAATGTCCAATTAATTAAACAGAGGTCATCTGAAAGGTCAGTGCTGTTTGTAAATCATAGAAACATCGTCGTAAACACCATCCTTTTACTAAAAACTGCAAGATTTAAAATTTTTTTTCATGGAAAAAACATCATTTTAAGAGTGGTCTCCAGGCTGGCAATACCAAAATAATTTAATTTCGGCCGACACCAAAAAAGGTCGCCACTGGCGACCGAGCGACCTCTAATTTTCAGCCCTGGCTATGCAGCATATGCAACTTCTTCCACTCACAGTGGAGCATCCCCAGTCATGCATGTAACGCATGCATGCATGTAACGTAACAAATGATGATGATCCCTGTGCAGGTATATTAATGTTCAATATTCCATCCATCTTCAATTTATGTACAGACATTATCAGTGTAACCTTATTGGCCGTGCATTAATTAATTTTTTAAATCACATTAAAAATATACCATCTGTCATGACCTAAAGTATTTGAGCAATTCTATTCTTTATTTGAATTGCTTAATAGTAAATCTTTATAATTTAATTTAACAATCTGAACGCAAAAAGAATTTCCTATCATCTAATGGACATTTTTAAATAACACCTTTCCTGTATTCTTTCGCACAGACCCCTTAATTTCCTGGTAATCAACTTGATGATTTTTGTAATAAAATTGGTATAAATTTATATGGTTTTTTTTTTTAACCTGCTTCTGGTTGAAAATTCAACTTTATCCTATTTCCTTTGAAATGAGTTATTCAAAATTTTTATTGGAATTTTTTGAGGGGTTTTTTCTGATTTTTTTTTTTTGGCAGGCAGTATATATTTTATAATTCCAAATGTGGACGATTAAATTTTGGTTGTTAAGTAAACATTCATATAATTATTTCTTTCACAATTATTTTGATAGAATTGACTACATGTTGTTTAATTCCTTCTTTCTAACCATCTGATCTTAAATTCAAACCTAAAGGCTTACTGTACCGTGAATTGTGTAAGATGATCTCACCTCAGGTGAGGATGCAGTCATGATATATTGATCATTCTTGATTTGTCTTGCAGGACTTATCCTCATTTGTAACCAAAAGTGTGAAGGAAATTGAACACGTCATGAATGTAGGAAATAGTAACAGATCTGTAGGGTAAGAATGGGACAAAAGGGCTTAACATCTGGAACGATATCAATGTAGAATTAAGACTCAGTAATAGTATTTATAAATTCAAAAGAAATTTAAATATCCATTACCATGAAAACTATAAGTGTAATGCAAACCTTTGTATAAATAATTGTGCTGTATGTAATCATATTTAACTTTTCTTCAGAATTTTCAATGACTATTGACTTGGTACTTTATTTATAAAATTTTTTCGTGATATAGTTGTTAATTCTCTTTTGTGATATAGTAGTTAATTTTATTTCATAATCAATGGGCGCCCGTTATAAAGCTTGCTTGTTGTGGCGACCCTTTTTCCACTTTATTCAAATGTTCTGTCTATGTATTTTGTATTGATATTGATAATGTGATGTGGAAATAAACTTTATATTGAATTGAATTGAAATTGAAGAATAAGATTAATATGGTAAATCAATCCAATTTACAGCCTTAATATATTTTAATATATAGTATATAGAACCCTTTTTCAAGATATTAAACTTAATTAAGTTTATGTTTTAAATTTGTTTTAGGTTTCATATTAATTTATGTCTTATTTCTGTTTTTCCCTTCTCATTTCAAGGGCTACAAATATGAATGAACACAGTTCAAGATCCCATGCTATCTTCATTATTACAATTGAGTGTAGTCAGGTACTGTATGATATAAAAATTTAGGCTTGCCATTCCAGAACCAGCGTACTGTCAGTTAGACTGTGTGCAGTTGAACTTGCCTGAAGTTGAATCCAAAATGCCATTGAAAAATTGTTCAAATTAGATAAAATTCGACTTAGAGATTGTTATTTAATGGAAAACACAATAATTTGGCATGTAATATAAGTTTGACTTAGAAGTTATTCGAGTTTAATAGATTTTAATAGATTATCAATTTTTATGTAAAGCGTATTGAACAGCATTCTAAAAATGCGCTATATAAATTCATATTATTATTATTATTATAGAGTGACATGGGGTGCTATACAGTAAGCTAATGATGGGGAGGGGAAAGAAAGGAGAGAAGTTGGCATGGAGTGGGGAGTGGGTTATGCTGAGATAATAATGGTAGGATAAATTAAGCTGTAGAATAAGAGTATTGGGAGGGATATATGGCTATAATGGTAGTTGGTGGTTGACAAAGGCGATGGCATTAGATTTTTTATGATGTCAAATGATAGAACATAATTTATTCTTCTTTCTTGTCATAGGTTGGTGTAGATGGCGAAAATCATATATGTGTAGGAAAATTAAACTTAGTTGATTTAGCTGGTAGTGAACGACAAGGGAAGACGGGAGCTGCTGTAAGTGATACTCTGACTCTTTACAATATAATTTTTAAAATGTCTCACTGAAAATCTTTTCAAATTATATTTAACTTGTTTTAATCTATTAATTACATAACCTGTAGGTCATTTATATGAATAAATCGATAAATGACAGTTGAAAATGTTTCTTTATTTTTACTGAATTTACGTTAAAGTATAATCTATATACTGCAACTACAGTATAATATTTAATTAAATAATTGCAATCTCTATTATATTTTCGTAAAACATTCAGTAACATGTGATATTGTAATTCCTTCGGTAACATCGGTACAGTACAGTAAGTACTTTTACTGGGAAATTATTCTACTAAATACATTCTAAGTTTTTCCATGTTTGGTTGCAGATAAATTTGCTTAATTTGTTTATACACTCATTTATTCTCTTCCAACAAAACACAAAAGCAATCAAGAATACATCAGTGTTCTCCCCAGGCCCTTGAAGCATCATGGTACCACGATGCTTGGGACATTCCCCATGATGCTTGACAGTTGGCCATGATGCTTGGACCATCTTCCATGCTGCTTTTATCAGGGAACAGTTAAATTATTTAACTGTTCCCTGCTTCTATATAGTCTTAAAATGCACTTTAGGACATTTCAATGCCTCCTAATTATTAAAAATACCTTGTGTCAGTCCCAACTATGGTGGACTTAAAACTTACCATGACGCTTGCCAATAATGCTAGGGAGAACACTGTACATACCATAACAGTTTTTGTTTATACAACTAATTTTTTAAACATTTGGTATTATATTTAATAAAACATTTTATTGGTGTATGGTACCATAAAACCTCAAATTGAAGTCTGGGCTTCTTTTCCTTTGTGATCGTTGGATGGGCTTATTTTCGAGACTACTTTTGCAAAGTAAAGAGGGGGCTTCTTTTCAAAATGAATGCTGTAAATTTTGTGAATTTGTAAAATTAAACAATATATAAGGTCATTGTAACATCAATCTGTATTATGGAGTGTATTTAACTGGCATAAATCACCTAAACTAATGTATAAACCAAGCTTGTTTTTAATTTATTTTGTTTCCTGATATTCATGTGTATGTACTGTACTATCTCAAAAGAAGCCTATGCTATTTTGAAAAGAAGTCCATGGACTTCTTTTCGAGATGGGCTTCTTTTCGAGGCTAATTTTGCAAACTAAAGAGGGGGGGCTTCAATTCGAGATGATCTTCATCTCAAGATTAAGCCCTCTGGGCTTCAATTCGAGGTTTTACGGTATTTTATTATGAATCACTTTTCTGTATTAAAAAAGTTTCCAATACATGTTGGACATCTTTTTCGGATTTAGAAATTTCCTCTTTTGATTTATTACAGAACTATTTAATACCCATACTGTAAAATGCTCGAATAAGTGGCACTCTTGAATAGGCTCCTCTCTCGAATAAGCGCCATTCTCGAATAAGCGCCACACCAAACCTGATTTGTTATAGCTAAGTGCCGCGGCGCTTAAACAAGAGTATGTATTACCCTGTGTGTATAAAACACTTTAAATGCAATGTATACAGTGTTTAAATAAATAAATAACACAATGAAGACAAAAGCATTTCTTTATAAACGTTTATTTATGATGACCTCAGGATAGGCCTACAGACCTACGGAAATATGTGAGATAGGTAACATGGGAACAGGCATGGAAAGCGCCACGCTAATATTTTTTATAAGTGCCTCACTGAAGCCTCCAAAAATTATATAAGCACTGCGGCGCTTATTCGGGATTTACAGTACTAATCCTATAATTTTTAGCGATGGTGATAGATTTATGGAAATGGATTTGTGTTTATCTGACTGGTGAACAAATACATTTTTGTAGAGGTGAACCTGCATGACCTCATATTTAAGGTCTTTATGTGCATACATATTTACCTCGGTTATGGGAATAAATACCCATTTGATTTCCACAACTCAACTCCAAAACTAGTTTTTCCTATTATCTGTACTCTTTGGTCAACAACTTTTACAAGACAAGCATCCTTTGAATGTCATATTTAAGATAGTTTTGATTGGAATTACAAAATAACATGGACAGGAAAATACAGATTGAATAATACATGTAAAATTCTGTCCGGACTATCAAATTTTCTTTTACAAAACACTGGTGTATGCCCATATATAGTCATGATGTGCCTATTTATGGCCATGATGTGATGTCATCATGACCATATTTAGACATGTCACATGCTTTTATTAAACAAAATTTGAGTCTGGACAGGGATAAAGATTACTACTTTGAATAATCATTTTAAAAATGACAGTTTACTATTAAATCTTATAATATTTCCCCCACTGCAGGGTGTACGTTTAAAAGAGGCGACCAAGATTAACCTTTCCCTATCCGCACTCAGCAATGTCATCTCCGCTCTGGTAGATGGCAAGAGTTCGCACATACCTTACCGTGATTCCAAGCTCACGCGACTCCTGCAAGACTCTCTCGGAGGCAACGCTAAGACAGTGATGGTGGCCAACATTGGGCCTGCAAGTTACAACTATAACGAAAGCATCACCACCTTAAGGTACATATCATATGTATCATGGAATAATAATAGATGTTTAGTTTTGTTTCATTTTCTCCACATCATAAGTTCTAAGATGATAGGTCATTAACTAAAATTGATATACTATTGCCAAAGTTATGTGTAGAAGTATTATGACCTCTCTGTACTAAAGTAAACAATACTGTCACATTTTTATGCTAATTATTCAATTAACATTTAGCCACATTACGCTGGTTTTCAGATGGCAAGCCTTATATAGTCATTTGAAAAATATGGATTTGTTTCAATAGACAGAATGGAAATCAGCGCTTGGCTTATGTTTCACTGAAGAAGCATTAAAGAAATATAGGGTGTATTCTATTATATACATATTATATGTTTATCATTTTATCAATTTTTTTCTAAAAGGTATGCTAATCGTGCAAAGAACATCAAAAACAAGCCAAAGATAAATGAAGATCCAAAGGATGCATTGCTTCGTGAATTTCAAGATGAAATTTCCAGACTGAAGGCAGAACTTAGTAAGAAAGGAGGAGGAGTAGTAGGGTCTGGAGGGAAGAGGAAGAGGAGAAAAAGAAGAGGAGGGCAAGGTAAGATGAATATTTCAACCACTACTCTATTGTAAACAATGTTTTTTTTTCAAATTCCCTCTTGGGTTAGTAATTATTATTGTATAAAGCCGGGGATTCACTGCATCGAACAATGGTTGTACGACCGTCGTACTCCATAAGCGTTAGACAGTGCAACATCCTCTATTGCTTGTCGGTGGCAGTCTAAACTAATCTTCACGGCGTTTGTCATGGAAAGCACGTCGGCCGGTGACCATTGGGCACAGTGAGTTTCCGGCTTGATAGCTATTGCTTACAAACCATCTTTTGAGCTACACAAATACTAGTATTTGAATATATTGAAGTCAAGTTCATAGTTGCAGCTAGTCGGTTCACACTTGAGTTAAAATCCTTGTTACGATACACGCAATAATACATGTTTATTTTTTTTCAATATTTTTGTGTTTTCTGTACACTTTTATGTAGTAAAATAGGAAAATGCAATAGATATAATATCGTTTGCATGTTAATAACCATTATTTCAGGAGGTACAGGATCAGATGGAGAAATTGATGAAGAAAGTGATGAGGAGGTTGAGGTGATGGACGAGGCTGAAATGTACAAAGAGGCACAACTGAAGCTGGAGAATGAGAAACAGACGATTCTTGCCAATCAGAACATGATTGCTGAGGTACATTCATTCATTTTTGAAGTCCTGTCCAGACTATCAAATTTTCTTCTACAAAAACATGTGACATGCCTAAATATGGTCATGATGACATCACATCATGACCATATATAGGCACATCATGACTATATATAGGCATACAACAGTTTTTTATGTCAAAGAAAATTTGAAAGTATTGACACAGCTGTAGACCATGTTTAATTGAAAAAATCAGTTATACCAAAATCATGCATTGACATTACAAGAACTAGCAACAGAATATAAATACAAAATTATAAAGCACATATATTTAGCACATGGATAAAATATTGTATTTATTTGATAGCAATACATATTTAAATGTTAAATTTTTTACATTCCAAATGCAATAAAACATGTCATTTTTTGATTTAAAATGTTTATTGAAACATCAGGGGAAAGTCAGAAATATCTGTAAATTTGAGACCCTGGTTCATGAAGCTACAACTGTCCCAAACAATGACAACTCAAGTATAGTGCAAGTGTCATTCTGAAAAAAAAAGAAACTTTATACCATGGGTCATGACCCTTATGCATTTGTACAATCTTTGGAAAAGAGCAGTATTTGTCTGCTAATGTAATGCAGCTGCATTAGTATAAATTGGATTTCTTTAGAATAATACAATTCTAGGATGACCTATAAAAGTCTGAAGACTTTCTTTCAGTGGTGGGGTCCTTCTGGTGGTTTATTGGACAGTATACCAGGAGAAAATCCTCTACCCTTTGCCAAAGAGTGTACTATGTTCTGTAATGAGCCATATTGCACACACTTTTCTCGCAAGAGGAGACCAGTAAAGTAATCGAACCAAGGTCCAAGGTTATGTAGGGATCTCCATGGTTCAGTGAACACATAGCTGCCACTGTATCCCAGTTGCAGAGAAATAAGTAATCTAACTTCCCCTTTAATCTTAAAAAAAAATTGTAATCATCTACACATTTCTGTCTTTTTAACATCAGTATGACTTCCGTCTTTCAGGAGAAAGAAAAGATTTTAAAAGATCTTTTGACAAAACAAAATGACTTGAAGAAACAGCAGCAAGCCCAGGATGCACTCAATTCAAAGATTAAAGCTATGGAAAGCAAATTATTAGTTGGTGGTAAAAGCATCGTAGACCATACAAATCAACAGGAAAAAGAATTGGAAAAGAAAAGATTGCTATTAGCAGAGCAACAGGTTTGAATCTTCTTATGATCTATTTCATGTTACTGATTAATGTAAATATCAGAGCAATAGGTTCAAGTCTTTATTATCTATTTTGTTTTACTAATTAATGTAAATATCAGAGCAATAGGTTCAAGTCTTCTTATTATCTATTTAATTTTACTGATTAATGTAAATATCAGAGCAACAGGTTTGAGTCTTCTTATTAAATGTCTAATTTTACTGATTAATGTAAAATTCAGAGCAGTAGGTTTAAATCTTCTTACTTTTCCACACTATCACATTTTGTGTAGCAATTACCTGTGATTTGCCCTACATATGGGAATGATATAAAATATTATTATCTTTAATCTTGATACGATATCATCATGCATATGAATGTAATATGACATCATCATGCCAGGCCCATATAAGGATGTGATATAACATCATCTTGCCTGTTATTTATAGATGTGATATGACATCATCATACATACTAACATTTCACATAAAAAATGTATCGTGTGGATATAGCTTAAGGTTACTGATTGCATTTGGAAGGGGGTAGGGGGGAGGCACGCGCAGAGGGAATCTACATTACATCATGAGCATGATAATTATTGACTTGTTTATAGTTGTTCGGTAAGCTTCAACGGGTAAAGTGTGAAATACAAGATTTGCAAGAGGAGCACTTAATGGAACGACAGAACCTAGAGCAGACCCAGAACGAGTTGACACGAGAACTAAAACTCAAGTAAGCTCAACACCTAATTAAAATATTACAGAACGTCTTTCATAAATAGAACTCATCGCCAATATTAATAATAATGTTAACGCTGTTTGTACCATGTGTATTTGGCTTTGTTCCCAAAAAACCCAGTCGCAAGTTGTTATTTCAAGAAAAGTCTATGTAAGATTCATTTGGATTGCATTAATGGTTATATCATGCAGTTGCTAACCACCTTTTTATAATTGATGCCATTGCTCAGTCTACCCATCAATTTTGTTATGTGTAAAAGGGGTATATGGAGCAAATATAACCTGGTCAAAATACTATTTAGCCTCTAGGTTAAATCCAATATTTCTGTGTGAAGGGTGTTTTAGTGCCTATTTATAAGTGTCGTAGTGATTGAATTATTCTTAATTCATGCACATGACTCTACCTTTCACTGCTAGGGAATAATCGTAGTTGTACAGTATAATAAACATCCTCCCAGGTACTAGAAGAAAGCGTTCCAATATATGCATACTGCAAATGTAATCATCCTGAACTCTCCATACTTGTTATTGGATTCCATGCAGTGGAAAGCCTCTTTTACATAATTATATTTGCATTGACTGTTACAAAAAAATTTGTGTTACTCGCATATCAGAAAGCTGACTTCCTCAACACCTCAACAATATATGTTGTTTTTGATATCATTTAGAATGTTGATAATTGAGAATTTTATCCCACCCGAGGAGAGAGCTAAAATATCCAGTCGAGCGGAATTTGATGAAGAAGGGGACCAGTGGAGCTTGAAGCCTCTAGCCAAATCTGAAGGGTATGCCAGATACTTGTTTGTTTTAAATGTGTTCATGGTGGTTTTAATCACTGCAACTGTTGTGCACGTTCCCTGCCAGGGATGTGAGTTCACATCCGATAGGGTTCAAGCAGGGCGCCAAGGACACAAGTTTTTCGTCCACACCTATCCAACATACCACTATTATATTGCATGTGAATTTGCTGGCAGTGCTCTTCGGAGCACTGCCTCAGGCCATGGAGGTACAGCGACGGACGCGAAAGTAATGATGGACTCAAAAGTAATGATCTAAAAATAACTGCCTTATGTTTGTTTGTGTTTCACTACAGTTGATGGAAATATTTTTATTTATAGTGGCGCCCTTTAGACCTTGGCGTATGAGATGGAACTTGGAAAAAAGGCCTGGCAGTCAACATGTTAACACTTTATATTCCTAGTTCTTTTTTTATTATTGAGTTGTTAGTTTATAGCTCTTATTACTTATTTATTTAATTATTATGTATTATTTTTATAGTGTACATATTCATTTACGAAGCACTGATCAAGGCACTTTGTCATTGAATACAGAATCAATCATACACAACATGCATCATCGGCTCCCTGGGTAGTATTCCTAGTTTTGCGTGTAGTTCAGCACTACCAATCTAATTTCAAATCATTCACCTCCTACTAGGTATTCATTTATTCTCCTAGAGGAAGAGAAGAAGATATAAAGTGTCTTACTAAAGGACACAAGCAGTGTGGCAAGCGTCAGTCTCCAACCCTTGACCTTTTAATTGGAATCCAACACCATACATGCTGTGCTACAGGCTTAAACAAAAATTATAATACATATTTTATTTAGTTATGGCCAAAAAATTAATTAATTTCAGTTGAATCAATTACCACTCATTATTCAAGCGTCTGTTGATAATTTAGCATAAATTTATTTATTTATTTGAAAGCTTAAATTGGAATCCAACACCATACATGCTGTGCTACAGGCTTAAACAAAAATTATAATACATATTTTATTTAGTTATGGCCAAAAAATTAATTAATTTCAGTTGAATCGATTACCACTCATTATTCAAGCCTCTGTTGATAATTTAGCATAAATTTATTTATTTATTTATTTATTTGAAAGCTTAAAATTTAAATAAACCTACATCATAATTTTTAGCTCAATACAGACAATATATTGTGAATGTATTGTGTATACTATGCAAATGTGCAGACCTACTCTACCAAGTTTCACGCATTTGGGGTGTGTCTCACGCTTAAGGACTAAAGTCTTGTGCATTAACTTAATGCATATATTTTAAAACATATGAGGCATGTTGTGGCGAAATGGTTAAGTTGTCGCACAGGCCAGTATTGAGTAAATGAGCTATAAAATATGGGAGCTCAAAAAATTGCCTAAAAATCCAAATTTGTTTTTCATTATAAATCAACAGTTTATTGTCTTATTAAACATGTACCAAAGTATTAGTTCTGGAAGTGGTCAACAAATTGTTTATTTAATGTTATTTTGATAGTTCATTCTATTAAACAATGTATGCACAAATAACTTTGAAAGGCAATTACTCAAAATCATGTTTATCTTGATTCTAAGAGTACTGTACTTTCACTTTCCAAGGCTTGAAATGTCCAATTTCAATGAATGACCCCTCATTTTAAAGATCACATACTCAGGTATCTGAAAATACTAATAACTTGAATTTCAATTTTTGCTACAACTTAGCCATTTTGCCACAACATGCCTCATATGTATACTATACTGTATGTGACCTTTGTTGCCCTCTTGTGTTTTTATCATCTCTTGTCAGTGTGTTTCATAATGATATTTGTGATGCTGATAGAGACAATGAATTTTCTTATCATAGGCCCTTGCAAATGGCTAAAAGGCCAGTAACAGCGTCTGGTAATAGGAGACCAATCACAGATTATGCTAAGGTGTCTGCTAACAAAGGGGGTAACCCACGCTACAAGGTATATATTAGCTACTTTAATTTTCATATTTAAATAACTTAAGTAATGTTTCCTTCTAGGGTTCACAATAATTCTCTCACTGTCTGAAGATAATAATAACCCTATCATTAATACAATTTTTATTGTTACTATAACCATGGAGATAACACCTGTTGTTATCAAAATAATTTTATAGATAAACAATAAAATGCATAAACAGGATTAAGTCATTCAATAATTTTTTTTTAACTGATTAAAACTTTGAATTATTTTTAAAATAAATGATGATATTTCTCTTGAATAAGGCGGAGAACATCCTTAAGATTGATCTGGATCTGCCGAACAGAACGACACGTGACTACGAGGGACCAACTGTTGCACCACGTGTACAGGCAGCTTTGGATGCTGCCCTCAAGGACGAGGAAGACATAGATATTGAGATTGTGTAAGTTGACTTTTGTTGTCAGATGATAATATAATCATTTAGGGCGAGTCCTCATGTAAGGTGAGTCCTCATTTCTGACAAGTCCTCATTCTGGACGAATCCTGATTCCTGACGAGTCCTCATTCCGGACGAGTCTTCATTCCAGACGAGTCATCATTCCGGACAAGTTCTCATTTTAAACAGAATGAAATGCGACTATGAGAGACCAACTGATGCATCAAGCTAGTTAGCTGGAGGTCATGGGTTCATTCCCACCCGAATCACTTGCACATTTTTTTCACAAGTATATTTGAATGTACTGAGTATTCAGTACATTTGATGATTTACACTTGACATGATCACATGTCAAATAGGGCAAAACATCACTCCAACTAATGTAAAGTAATGAATTAAGGAAGGAAGAATTAATACCCATAATCCACATCAGAATTGGCTTTTCTATTACATGGCAATGGTTATAAATTTTAAATGGGATCAAACAGATGACCTACTTAAAAAAATTTATCACCATATTGATAAGAATTATTATTTATATTTTAATATAAATCTTCATGCACTGCTTTTATACAGCTTTATGCTCAGTTTTTAATATTGTTTTTACTCAAGATCGGCCGAAAAAGAAGGGTTTTTCTAGCTAAAGATGGTAGACAGGTCATATTGGTTTTTTTTTAATTATTATTTTCAAGCTACTTATTTATTGTTCATTTATGTCAGTTACTTGTTAATTTGATTGGTTGCCCTGTATGTACTATCATAATGCTTTATTGTACATAATTACAAAAACTTTTGTTTGCAGATACATCTATAAATATACATCAAAATATTTTTTTTGTAATTTATGCACAAAAGCAATTTTTGTCATATGTTCACATTACATAGAATAGTTGCTGCCTGTTTCCAGTATATAAATTTTACTAGTGACTAAATTAAATTCTTTTTCTTGTGTATATCTAATAATAATTGTAATAACAATTCAAGAATTATATAGCGCCTCCAGTTGAACCAACCTCAAAGCGCTTCACAACAACAGAAAGAAATATCTTATCATTATAAAAATAATCAATGTACACATGTATCATTAAAAGGTGCCTAGTTTAGTTTTAATCTACAAAAGGGATAGATAAAAAATACATGTGACATCAGTTGATATTCTACTGGTCATATATGTACAGTCTACCACAGTATCGACAATTGGTTTTTTTTATCTTTTGAGATATACAAAGGTCATTTAAATATGTGACAAAAATCTAGGCTACTGTACATATGACCTTCACAGATCAAGTCCATATTTTTGTGTAATGTAGGATCCTTGCTTGATACTTGCCTTCGGTTCTATTTCTTGTTTGCTACAAAAGTCTTGGCTAAAACCAGCACAAGAAGATAATAAAATATAATGTGTGAAAAAGACAAAAAGGAAAGATAAATATGGCTCTGTTTTACAATAAATTGTAGGGAGGGGATCAGGGGTTTAGCCAGAAAAATGAAATAGGCCGTCCAAAAAATGTAAGCCATTGGGCATGGTACTGAGCCGATAGGGGAATCCCACCGAATATTGGTATGAAAACAACGTACATTCAATCAATAAATGCTGTTTTTTTTTTCAAACTTAAATTTGATTTGGCTTTAGTTTAATGTAATTTTCGATAGATTTGAAGAATATAAAGAATTTGCTAAATGTTGACCAGGCCCAATTAGGCTAGGCCAAGCTGATTAGTCCAAGCCGTCACAGTAAAAGTGGCCGTCCTAAATGATTGCTTGCTGGCTAAGCCTGTGGTGAGGATATCACTTTGTTAACTGCATTGTGTGGTAGAAACCCCACTTGTAATGACCCACATACCCCTTTTATTGGTACAAGTTATCAGCTGTTGTTTGACAGTGGAAGGGCAAATAATGAGATATGAGTCAAGAGATAATGGAGTATGTGACATTTTAAATTCTGTAGTCATGGATTTTATTTTAATGAGAATGGTTGAATATTAGCAAAGTTATGAATAACAGTTAAGTAGTTTTTGAGGAAACAACTTTCAGAGGTTCTTGTCAGTTTTAATTATTAGACTCATGTTCATGTATTTTAAAAGAATTTATATTTTGCTTTTATGTACTTGTCATGATGGATATTTGGCAGAATTGTTGTACAATATCTGTTCATTTATAACAATAAACCTGGAGTTGGTCAAAATTCTAAGTCTCTTGGCTGCAACTACAGTAATGTGAATTTGAATAACCTGCAGAGTATAAGCTTTAAACTATGTCTTTATTGGTCAATGATAATTTTAAAAAAGTATTGCATTGTGGATGGTCAAGATACTAGGTTTGGATGTTATTTTGAGAGACCAATTTGAAAATCAGTCACCTGCAAAACTTTAAATAAAATTCACTTCTCCTGTCATTGCAGACCAAATTTCTTTGGGCAAAATAAAGGAAAGTCTAAGAAAGAAAAAGGAAAGAAAATGTAAGTATGACCAATATGCCAAAATATCTTGAGAAATAAATTTTGTCATAACTTTGATCTCATCAATCTATATATGCATGCTGTAATCTCCATCCTAAGATAATAATAATTGAAATATATAAATATAAATTATAATAATGAGTTCATTATATACCAAAGTAAGATGCAAACATGAAATGAAGACCACATTTTTTTTTTGCATTATTTGAAGTTTTTTTTAAGTATAATTAACAAATGCAAATGATAACTGTTGTACTACAAACTTTTTTTTTCTTCCAAAAATACAGTGTTCGTACGACAAAGAAAGGGGGAGCGGTGAACTCTGAACTATATCCGACAGCAAGAGGCCTAGTCAGCAAGTAGCGTCTATTGTGCAATTTTCAAAAAAAAAAAAATTCCTCTTCAGTTTGTGTGTAATAATACTTTTAGCATTCCTAGAAGTAGATTTATTTCTTGATAATTTCACATTTATTTCATGATATTCACAAGCATGATTATTACAACAATTATTGTAATAGAACTAATTTTGAACTTCTATGTGGTTTGTAATTATAAAGATGTTCTAAAAATGCATACAAATAATATTTCTTAAATAAAATTGTATGCGTTAAATCTCTATTTCACCACAGGCTAAATTAAATAAACAATACCGAAAAATTGAAGGTAAATAAATAGCTCTCCCCCCCCCCCCCAACAAACAAGAAACTCGACAGCATTTTTATTTCAAGTCAAGTCTACATTTCGAGCTTGATATAATCAAGGGCCTAGTGTTTTTAAATAAAAAAGAGCATTTAAAATTCTGTTTCAAAACACTAGACATTTCTTTTTTATGTACAAATATGCAGGCATAAAAAGTACATTACCATTTTACTCAAATCACCAAATTATAAAAATTAATCATTTAAAAGATATTTGAAATGTGCATTTTACAAATAAGAAAATATTAATTATGATAATAATAGGCTTAAATTATTTGAATTCATTCAAACACTGAACACCTTTCCACCTGTGTACATCATACCTTGCTTAATTTCTCGTCTGCAATGTTGGGTTGTTCCCATAATAAATATGCCTTATTCTGAAGTAACGTACCTTAAATTAAAAATTCAAGACCGGCTTTATATTAATAGAAAAAGTAACAGGTGTAATAAGCAAAAATAACTTTGCGCTTATTGCTTGTGGTCATCATCAGGTACCGTATAAAGTACCAGCTTTTAGTAAATATGTCTAGTAGAAACGGTGAGCGTAGCCGTTGTGGTTCATATCCCAACCTTGAGGTCGGCGGTTCCAGAAACCTCGCTATGTAAATCACCGAGGTCCTTTGAGAAACTTTTATTTATTTTTTAAGAATTATATAGCGCAAATATCCAATTATGGAAGAACCGCTGAAGGCGCTTTTTATTCCCTGGTCATTGGGTACAGAATCAATCATACACAAT